GGGCGGGGCGGCCGCGCCTCCCCTGCCAGCTGTCAGCAGCCGCGCGGGGCCAGGGCCGGGGCTGGGGCTGGGGCTGCGTCACTGAGGCGCAGCTCCCGTCCCGCCCGCCTCGCTCCTCCGACGGCGGCGGTTGAGCCGAGCTGCCCGCGGGCGCGTCCGCTGCTTTGTCACCGAGTCACTGCGCGGCCTCGGCGTCTCGTCCTCCGCAGGCCCAGGCAGGCTTCCTCCTCCGGGTAGGACCCGCCGGGTGAATCCCATCGTGGCTCTGGGCACGCGGAGTCTCTCGTGGGGACTGTGGCAAGGCAGTGCAGGAAGTAGGTGGCAGGTGTTGGCTACAGGTGTTGTAAGGCAAAGACCTGTAGGATTCAGACGTTTTCCCTTCGGGGAAGGTGAGGAGGTGCCTGTCCACAGAAACCTGCTGTCCACGCACCACCTCAGTGCCGTCACCTCACCGCTGAATTTTAGTCGCTGGGTTCTTTCTTTTCAGCATAGCCTTGCCCTGTGAAGTGGCTCAGTGTTTGGCGTGGCATGAAGATAACAGAAATACCGATAGCGTGCTGCGTGGATGTCCTTTAATTGACATTGCCACCGAAAAATCTTCCTAGCCTTTTGGTTGGCTTTTCTGGCTGCTTGTTTTGTAATGGAATTACACTTGTGTACTCGTTACAGCTTCATAAGTAATTGCCACTTTTATAAACAGCGCTAAGCAAAGCAGTCCGTGCAACTGACTTGAGTGAAATGTAAATAAAACACATTCTTTTTGCCCTTTCACTACTTGAATTATGTAAATATTTCCAAAGTTTTGTAACTTCAAGTTGAGTCATATTAAAAGATGTTTGCGGCTGTTCTCAGAAGAACAGAATTCCTGCAGGGTTGTTAATAGAAAGGGGTTTCAAGCTTATATTTATGCACATTTCTACTCACCCCCTCTTTCAGGTTTCACGCTATTAGGTTGATAAAACCTATGTTATTTCTCAGTGCCTCAACTTGTATTAAGTTATGGTTATTTTGATTTAACTCTTACTATGCATTGTCTTGTTTTTCAGCAAGCATTTATCAGTATAATGTAGCTGGTCTTGGAAGTATTTTGATAGGGGGCTGTTGCTTCTTGCACTGAGGCAGTCAGTGATCCGTGCATCAATAAAATCAAACTAACTTCACTTTTTCCCTTAGTCAGAAATAAGTTGTCCTGTGGCTTCTGTGTTTTTACAAATGTAAATGTATGTATTAACTTTTCTTTCGGGGATTGAGGTTTGCTTGAGTAAACTCACTGAGGCTCAATCCTGATAAGACTGAGCGAATTCAGGTTCACGTGAAAGAAACGATATTGTTGTCTCCACTTCAAGCCTCTGTTCTGCATCCAGTTAGAATCTAAGCTGCTTTTAGGGGCTTGGAAAACAGCAGTGCTCAGGACTGCTTTTAAGGAACTCATCTTAGAGCTACCCAGTAACTATCCTTAATGCAAAATGCAGATATTTGTTTAGTTAATATCTTTTTCTGCAAAGAGCACTTTATACCTGTTCTGTAGTATTCACTGAATCTCAGAGGAACGTAAGGTACTTGTTTGTTTGAACTAGAACTATATGGCTTTTATTTATCAAAATATCACAAGCACTGTAGTGAAAACTTTTGTCTGTTTTGGACTATTCCAATGTAAGTTGTAATGCTGTAGATAGTTTGTATTCTATCCATCTTCTTGGCAGCTGTTATAATGTATAATAGATATGTATCTGCCTCCAGCCGCCCCCCACCACCATTCAATCGAGGAAATTTAGCTTGTATTCTCTATATAGATCCCATAGAATCTATAGAGAGAGAATAAAAGAGAGCTAAATTTCCTTGGTTTAATCAGGAAGGGGCTGGAGGCAGAGTTATTTCCTTGAAGGAAGAACCCTCCATTCTGAAACCTGCTTCCCCCAAATGTTTATGACAGCCCCACTTTGTTTACCTTGAGGACACCCTGCATAGTTTCTCTTTTCTGTCAGGCTTTCTGTAGCAACCTGAGTAGAGACAGGTAGTTATCTGTGTTTTTGTCTGAGTTTAATGGCCAACCAGAGAGTGAGCAGTAGTTTGGCCGCTGGTTCTAGTAATATGTTGTTTTAACTTTTGTGTGCTCAGAACCTCAAATCATCAGATCATGTGAACAAGTAATTTAAAAATGGGATGAGCATAGATCCATCTAACAGATACGACTTCCACTTTTATTTTTCTGTCACAACAAAACGTCTTTGAATACCAGCATCCTCCAATGAGGTCAAGCTCTCAGAAAGCATTTGTAAGTTAGTTGCAAAACCAGCAGGGGGAACACAGAACACTGTTAGTTACATTTTGGACCTGTGGGTTTTGATAGTGTTTCTTTAAAGGGTGAACTTTAGTCCACCTGACAAAATTGCACTGTATTGATTATTAATTTTTTTGCTTTCTTAATGCAGGGGCCTGAATCCAGCCTGGCCTGGCACAGGCCATATTGTACAAATCTCCTTCAGGTTAGTAGATGTGTAAATCAGGGTTGAATTTGGTCTAAATATTTAAGATGCTGAAGTGAAATTGTTCTTTTAACATGTTTGAAGGTTAGGTATTCAAAACTGAAGTGGTATATTATGACTAATTACCTAAAGTATTTGATTTGGATGATGGTAACATACTTTTACCTGTTGTCGTGCTATATTCAAAGTAGTGTAGCAGCAATCCTGAATATAGAGCTTTAAGTTGCCAAGGAATTGTAGCTGCCTAAATTATTTTTGCTGTATAAGATTGCCACATGGTTCTCACGACAGAAGTGAATATTTTTAGATACCAATTCTTTAATATTTAGAAGGATAGCTAATATCCTTGCCTTATTACTTTGTCAAAGACTAGCCAACTCTCTTAGCATCATTCAACAATAACCAATATTTCTGTATTGGTTTACTTGTTGACTGCCTTTTCTTTAAATACTAAAGTATATTGTTTTTGATGACTGGTATGGGCCCCTGTCACTGTTGGTGCATTCAGTTAGGAAAGACTTGGAGCCAAATGAGGTCCCCAGTTCGCTATGTGATGGCAGGTTCAGGACCCAAACACAGAATGAATGTGGTAAAGAATGAGTCTTCCCCAACTTCAGTACCCAAGTGCTTTCTTATTTCAGAAGGTCACATGTTTGTCATCATTTCCTTTTGAGTCCTATTAAATGCTAGAAGGCAATGAGTATACTCAAAAGGATCAATAGTGTATTTGCCTTCGAATTTCTGCCATTACTTATATCGCACTTCTATTTTTTTTAGTGTTTGTTGTGCCTCATAGGGAAAGATGCAGTGCTTTTTGTGCTTAGCACTTCCTACGAAACTGATTCACTGAGATGGGAAAGTAACATACATTATGAATACAAACTTAGGGTTTTCTATCTTTAATGTTATTTTAACATAGCTTTTTAAGGATAATATTATTGCCTTGTAATACTTTTATCTAATGATTCAGCTTTATGCTAAATATATTCCTCATGATCAAATGATCTGGCTCTAGACCATTTCTCCAGAGTACAATAGGGCATACTGCAACCTTCAGATTTTGAAATACCATTGTAGTGGGCTGATAAGGACTTCAATTCCAAAAAGTATATGAATACAATAAATATGGGGATACTTCTTCCAGGGCTATAATATGTCTGAAGACTAACAAATGCATGCTAGTGTCTAACAGTTTCAGTAGTATATTATGATCAGGGATCCTGGTTTTCTCTTTTAAAAAGTTGCAAAGTCTCTGATTAAACCCCCCCCAAATCTCGGATTAAAAAACTCCCAAATCCACATTTTTCTGCGATTAAAATGAAACTCCACTAATTTTATATATATATATGGGTTGGCATGGGATATATATATATATATATATATATATATCACAAAGTTTTATTGGTATATTTACAGTTTTAAAGCAATTTGGAAGTCTACCAGTACCTCAGTCATTATAATACAATAAGTTCTAAGTACCTATATATATTGGCGTTTGATTTTGGTTTTATTTATCATGGAAAATCAGAGCTTCCCCTTCACTCACCAGGGTGAAGGTCCAGCTGTAGCTCTCCCCTCACTACTTTGTGGTGCTGAGCAACCCTGATGTGCTGGCGCCCTGGCCCTGCTGGTGTCCCACATGCCCGACCCACAGTCCCTTGCCACCCCCCCCCCCCAGCGCCCCTCACTCCTAAGCCACAGCTCCCCAGCCCTGCTGGTGTCCACCCCACACCCATGGCCCTACTGGAGGGAGCCCCCAGTTGCCCCTGTCTCACCTGGGCCAGAGTGTAGTGGTTGCAGAGTCCAACTCGTGTGGGTGGCAGTGGAGCAAATCTGGCCTTGGCGCAGGCTGGAGGAAGGAGAAGCACCCTGTGCACCTCCTGCCATGGGCTGGGGCTCCCATGCCATGCCAAGTGGCATGGCCACATCCCCTCCTGGCCAGTGTCTCCTGGTCGTTCTGCCCTTGTGAATGTGGGCACTGGCCCCGGTGCTGCTGGCCCACCCATGCAGCTCCCTGCTACCCCTGAAGGGCCTCCTTTCACTGCTGGAGGGACAGGTGCTTCACCCCACCCTGCTGCTGCCCCAGCACCTGGGCATCTTCCCCCAGCGCTAGCAGGCACCCCTCCACACACCCATCCCTTCCACGTGCACGTACACCCCTGCTTGGACAGTCCCCAAGCCTTGGCCCTCCAACCTCCACACCCCTTGACAGCCTGCAAGGGGAAATGTGTGGTTTCCTATGGTTTTCTCCTTTAAGGAGGGAAATCCATGTTTTCCTTTTTTAAAGGGTAACATCTGTTTTTTTTCCACAGCAGATACAAAACTTGTATCCTTGATTATCATTGAGCATACCTCAGTCCACTAGTAATAGCACATAACTGTATAATTTCACATTTACGTGATGGATAGCATTCAGTAGACCAGCTCACCTTTATAATATGACAGTAGTGATTAGATTTATGATAGTCAGACTGAAACAAATGAATACAACTCTGGAAGTCTGGACTTCAGAGCACTTTTTTAGTTTCTTTCCATTCCAAAATTTCTAATCCTCTTTTTTTAGTGACATAAACAATTAGAAGGAATAATCCTTTATGTTGATATGTATTCAACGTCTTTGATTTGTAGAGGTAAGCTGACCTGAGCTTTGCATTGAGGATGGTAGTATATGCATCTAATAAATACTAGTAGTAATAAAATTAAGATTGTTTTTATATAACACTAAAATAAAATCTAGCGATTAATTTAACATTTAAGTCTATTAAAACATGCAAGTTAATTTCAGTATTTATAATGAAATAATAGCATTTGATTGTCTACTGGAAACCGTGAGTAGTAGTATTGTTTCACATATGCTTTTTGTGAATACTACTTTTAAATGGATGGTCCTGGGTTCTTTCTTTTTTTTTTTTTGCTGTTGCCAAAATTTATTTACTGCAGCAAAAATATTTGTAATAATAACTATCTGCTCTTGTCCTGTAAGTAATAAAAGTGATTCCAGCTAAGATACATTTTATTTTTTTTTCTGTGAAATGTAAGTTTTGAAGAAAGCTGAGTGAAGAGTTTATTTTACATAGATCAAAATGTGACCTTGAATAGAACCTTTTTTAGATTCCAGGAGAATGTCTTATCTAAAGGTCATGATCTGAAACTGGTTGAAACTTTGGACTAATACACGTAGGTTGTTTTCCTGTAGACAAATGAAGCAAGGGCCACAGGCTGCTTGCTGATGGTAAGAAAATTCTGCTGATGGTAAGAAAATATGGATATTTATTTAAGGCTTATTTTATTATCCACTGCATTTTCTACAGATATTGGTGGTGGTTCTTTGTGAGAGTCAAGGGCAGTCAAGACTCTGTGTGGGTGGGCCAGGCAGCAAGGCACATGGCAGCACCTGCCGCTTTCAAAGTGGCGGCAGTAAGGCACGGAGACACGGAACAGAGGCTGAGCCCAGCTTGCAGCTGCGGCCCGCCTTCAGCCATGCAAAGGTCGGGGGGCCACGTGCCCTCTCGCCCAACCCTTGGCTGCCCAGCGCTGCGCTTCTGGAGGAGCCGCTGGGCTTTGATTGTTCCACGATCTGGCCGGGCCGAGGCCCCAGTCACGGTACATGGGGGTTGGGCTGGGCCGGGTGGGACAATCCCCACAGTGCAGGAGGGAGTGGGCTATACCAAATAGAGGGGAATAATCACTTCCTTTGATTTGCTGGCAACACTCCTACTAATGCAGTCCAGTATGTCATTAGCCTTCTTCTCAACAAGGACACAGTGCTGGCTCATATTGATCTTATTGTCCCTGTAACTTCCAGGTCCTTTTCTGCAGAGCTGCTACTTAGGCCGTCAGTCCCAGGCTTGTATTGGTGCATGGGACTGTCCCATCCTAAGTGCAGGACTTTACACTTGTCCTTACTGAGCCTTATGAGATTTCTTTTGGTCCAGTCCTCCAATTTGTCTAGGGCTCTCTGGACACTAGCCCTACCCTCCAGCATATCTACTACTCCCCACAGCTTGGTGTCATCTGCAAATTTGTCCAGAGTACACTCCATCCTATCTTCCAGGTTGTTGATGAAACTATTGAACAAACGGCCCCAGGACTGACCCCAGGGTACTCCACTTGATACTGGCCTCCAACTAGACATTGAGACATTACTTACTACCCTTTGAGCCTGATGATCCAGCCAGTTTCCTGTCCACCTTACAGTCTACTCATCCAACCCATACTTCCTTAGCTTGCTTGCTTGTTTCCTTAGCTTGCCTTCCTACCTCCCCTCCCCATTCCTCCCCCTCCTTGCACTAGGGTGGGCAGGCCATACTCCAGCAACAGCAGGCAGACTTCTAAGACCCCAGAGCAAGTAAAAGTTATCTCCCCCACCCACTTTCCTTCTCTGTTCAGAGGCATGTCCCCTTGCCTCCCTTCCTCCGTCTTTCCCCACCTGCTGTTGCTTTTGTCTCCAGAGCTGCTCCTGCCCACTCCAGTTGGGCTTCACAGTGGCTGGGCTCAGCCTGCGAGAGAGGTGGGGGTGGGCAGGGTTCCCCCTCTCTGTGCCTGCCCTGGGGCTGGTGGAGAACACCTGGGGGGACCAGACAGGGTGGGAAACCCCACATGCCCCCCCCCCACTGTCTTGAGCCGAGCCCAACCCCCCATGCAGACTGCTTACAGCGGGCAGCAGTAGCTCTAGAGTCTCCCCTTGCCCTGGGTTCAGTGAGGACAGCAGCACTGAGAGGCAGAGCAGGGGAGGGGATGTGCCTCTGAACACAGAGGGGAAGGGAGACAGGAATTCTTGCCTTTGGATACTTGAGTCCCTTGCTGCTGCTCCGGCAGCATGGTCAGAAGGGGGTGTGTGGCTGCACCACTGTCCCTTCCTGGATCCATCCCTGTTTCTGAGTAATGCTTCATGGTATGCAGGATGTAAATAAAGCCTGGGGAGGCTCATGGACTCATTGTAATCTCCCCTTTCCCCCCCTAATCATTACAAGTTACTTAGTGTCCAGGGCCTTTTATTA